GCTGGGCCAGGGGCCACCACAGCTGGTCCTTTCCCCAAGGCTGTGCCCCCGGCACCCCACAGCTCCCCTGAGGGATGGGCGGGGCGCCCAGGGAGTGGAGCACAGGCCCGGATGCAGTGCTCACTGGACGCGCCTCTCGCCTCGCCGAGGCCATCGGTGCGTCTTCTGGGGGCCCATCTGTAAGGGGTGGCCCATCCGTAAGGGGTGGCCCATCCGTAAGGGGTGGTGGCCCATCCGTAAGGGGTGGCCTGGGCGTGGCGAGGTGCCCGGCGCCAGGTGCCGCACGCCAGCTGGCGGTACAGAGCGGCCCTTCCTGCTTTTTTTTTAATTTTAAAAAATATATTTGTATTGATTTCAGAGAGGAAGGGGGAGGGAGAGAGAAACATCGATGATGTTTCTGTTAGTGGCGGAGGAGCAGGCCCGGCACAGGCCCAGGCATTGCCCTGACCAGAATCGAACCCGGGACCCTTCAGTCCATAGGCTGATGCTGTATCCACTGAGACAAACCAACTGGGGCTTTCAAATATTTTTTTATCAACTTCAGAGAAGGAGGGAGAGGGAGATAGAAGCATCAATGATGAGAGAGAATCATGATCGGCTGCCTCCTGCACGCCCCCCACTGGGGATGGAGCCCACAACCCGGGCCTGTGCCCTGACCGGGAATCGAACCATGACCTCCTGGTTCATAGGTCAAAGCTCACCCACTGAGCCCCGCGGCCGGGCCAGAGCGCCCCTTCAGAGAGGAGACCTCCTGGCTGGCTCCGCTGCACAGCTCGGACCTCACACCTTGGCCCCGGGCAGCCCCAGGTGCCGAGTGCCCCCACGGCCTCCAGGTCCTGCTGAGCTGGACCCACTGCCCCCGCATGCAAGTCAGAGGCAAACGCAGGCCCTGCCCGGCTCCCAGCTCCTCGAGGTCCCGTCCACGGCCCCCCTGTGTCCACACCGCACGCGGGGAGCCAGAGCAGAGGGGCGGGCACAGCCTAGCACCTCGTCCTCCCTGCCAGGGTCCGAGAGGCGTCCCCACTCCCGGGTGCAGTGTGTGCGGCTCCTGCAAGGCCAGCGTCACCCAGCCCGTGGGCCGGGCCCCAAGTCCACAGGAGGGCGCCTGGGGGGGGACTCCACCTTGAGGGCCCCATCTTCACCCCTCACCCCTGGACCCTGTGCCCGCAACAGCCAGAGCCCCATGGCTGCATCCGATAGGCGCCTACTGTGTGCTGGGAGGAGCACCTCAGACTCCTCGCCGGCCCCTCCTCCGGGCCCTGCACAGGGGTGACCAGAGAGTCCCACGGACGGGGAGACCCAGGCCGGAGTAGCCAACGTGCCACGGCTCTGGCATGGGTCAGTCAGTGGCGGGTGGGCGGGGGGGGGGGGCAGGCTGGTACCGAGGCTGGGTCGGGGTGGTCCCGGGGAGGGGTGGGGAGGGAGAGACCCAGGTCTGAGGCCGAGCAACGTTGCCGAGGAGCAGGCCGGGGGCAGACGCGGTGCCCGGGTGTGGCCTGGCCGCGTCCCAGGGCAGAGTTCAGGCAGACTGTCCACCAGCTCCCACGGACTCACCCCCACCCAGTCCAGGCCCTGCCCGGTTGCCTGTGGGGAACATTGCAAAACCCTGGCCTGGCCCTGCTGGCTCCCCTCCCGGTGGGCGAGAGGCTGCGATGCGGGTGCGGAGGCCCGGGGGGCGGCCCCAGGCGGACCAGGGCTTCCTGCAATGGGAGTGGAAGCCAGAGGGGGTGCAGGGTGGCACCCACGTGTACACACTCACACCCGCGCGCGCACACACACACACACATAGAGCATCACACACACTCACACACTCACACGCGGCAGATGTACACACAGACTATCACACGCATGTACACACATAGACCATCACACGCACACACACACACAGACCATCACACGCACGTACACACAGACCATCACACACACACAACCCTGCATGCACACACAGGCCCACACACACAGACGCGTGCCTAGAGCTGGGGCGTTGTGACCTGGGAGTGGGGGAGTACATACTGGGGGGCCTGCTCCCCAGGCCCAGGCCCCTCGGTTTCCTGGGGTCCTGCCTGCCCCACGCGGCCCACCTCAGGCCTGTCCTATGCCCCTGTCCCCATGCCTCCTCCATCGGCCCCTTCCCAGCTGTGCCTGGTGTCCCAAAGGTACCCACTCTGCCCTGGCCGGATGCCCCTCAACCCGGGCCAGGCCTGGGGGACCCCCAGCTGCCCCACTCATGGCCACGGCCTATGGCTGGAGAGGGCTGGGAGAGCCACCCCATCGTCCCCAGGCACCCCTCCCTGCTCCCCCCTCTCAGCCCTCTCTGCTCCCTCAGCCACCCAGGTCCTCCCAGCTCCCCGGACAGCAGCCCCGTGCTGCCTGGTCCGTGTGTGTGTGTGTGTGTGTGTGTGTGTGTGTGTGTGTGACTGTGGGAGACAGCGTGAGTGGCCTGGCCCTTTTGTCCACTCTCCTCTTCCTCCCTAATCCAGGGAGGCCAGCCCAGCCCCAGTCACCATGGGGACAGTGCCGCACCCCCCCCCCCCCGCAGGACAGGGTGATCTGGGGGGCTGGCTGTGCAGGGCAGCGGCAGGCCATTTCTGGGGTTCCCTTCCAGGGGCTCTCCACGGCCCCTCCTCACCCGCACGGGCAATGGGGTGCAGCCTCCGGTGGGATCCAGCCTCCCCCCTCCTTGGGACGCATCTGCCTTGAGAGGAGGGGAACCTGAAGAGGTCCAGCCCCGGTCAGGACTGCGACCCTGGGGTGGGTAGGTCCTGGGGCGCTGCCACTGTGGGGGCACCTTGGGGGGATGGGGGCCAAGGGACGGAGCCCAGCCCTCTGGTCAGTGGGGCAGCAGGGTCGGGACTACAGCCAATGAGGCGCTGCCGCTGCCAGGCCTTCCGGAGCTATTTTTAAGGCCCGCCGGATGGGCCTTCCAGGAACCAGGAAAAACAGATGACAGGCGTCCTGCAGGCGAAGGACGCGGCCGGTGTGTGTGGCTCAGGCCTGCAGGCGGGGTGACCGCTGGTCACTCCCCAAGGGCCATGCCCAGGGCGGAGGAGCAAGAGGCTCTTGGCTCTCAGGGTTGGCTTTGCCCCCAGCTGGGCTCCGCAGCGGGTAGACCCCTCTGGGCCTCGGTCATGGCCCCCTGCAGGGTAGGGGCAGGGTTGTCTGGGGCACCAGGACCCCCGATATCATGGACATGAGGCCCCTGTGGCTGCACGAGCAGAGATGCCAGGCCCCCTGCCCACTCCTTGGGCCAGCGGAGCCTCAAGGGACAGCCCCTGGAGGGCACAGGCCGGCTCTGACCCGTCCTGGAACTCACAGCTGGTGCAGGACGCTCACGCTCACGCTCACACACGCACACACGCGTGCACAGCCTCAGACAACAGCACGTCTACAGCACACACCTGTGCCTGGGAGGGAGGAAGGCTCTACGGAAATTCACCCCAGGAGAGAGGCTGCCTCCTGCTGTCCTGCACCCCCAGGCCAGGCCAGGGCCCTTCCCACTCGGGAGCCCCCTGCCGAGCTGGGGGTGGGGGTGGGGTGGGGTGGGGGAGGAAGGCAGAGGAGCAGGGCACACCTTCTGCCCCTCCCAGCAGCTGTGTGTGCCCACTGGCTGAGCTGCGGGAGACTCGAGGTCTTCAGATCAAGCTGGTGGGGTTCATGGGGGTGCTGGCTTCCAAAGGTGGACTCCACGGCCAGGGGCCAGTTGGGCTGGGGCCACTGGGGCGGCCGCGGGGCCCTCAGCCCCTCCCGCTGACCCACACTCTGCAGCGCTCCCTTAGGCCTGGGAACCCCCAGGGCAGGAGGGTGCTGGACAGGAGTTGCTCCAGGAAGACAAGCACCCAAGAGCTGTGCCAGCGGAGGGTGCACGCGGGGGAGGCTGGAGTGCGGGGAGCCTGCAGGCCGGCCCTGTGCATACTGGGGGGTCCCCCAGGGGCCGCCGGGAGCACCTGCGAGGCCAAATGGACCATCCCTTGGCCTTTGGCTCCCCCAACCCTCAGGCCTCTGGTCCGGAGAAGGGGTGGAGGGGAAGCCGTGGTCATGCGGCCCGACACCGGGGCTGGCACGGGACTGCCCACACCCGAGTCCTGAGCTGCTCAGGACAGCGACCTGGGCGGGCAGTTGGGTCGCACCACTGCCCAGGCGAGTCTGTGTCGTGCAGGAGGGTGAGCGTGGACCTGGTTGGCTCGGGCGCTGACCGCGTGGTCAGGGTGGGAGCCATGGCCAGCAAAGCCCCTGGGCCTGGGGGGCAGCCAGGCGGTGGAGACCAAGGAGGGCGCCCAGGCACGGGGGCAGCAGGGCTGAGGTCCCCGGAAGACGAGGGAAGGACCTCGGGGCTGGAGGTCTGTCCGGGGTCAGAATGCGCTCCCGGGGTGGGCAGGGTGCTGGGGCGCTGCCACGGAGCCGGGTGCCCGCGGGGCGACGCCGTCTCCCCGCGCGGACTGCGGGCGACGCGCACGCACGGGCCTGGGGCAGCGCGGGCGGCGCCTCCCGGACCCGAGTCCGTCTCGGGACCCCCGCCCGCGGGAAGCAACGGACAACCCTGCCTCCCGGCCTGGAAGGCGCGCGTGTCGCCGGTGACCTTCCCGGCGCAGCCTGGGCGGACCCACGCGAGGCCCCGCCCCTCCCGCGCGCCACCATTGGCCGGGCCCGCGGTGCCCTTTGAAAACACAGGCTCCCATTGGCTCCCGCGGCCCCTCCCTACGCGCTGGGCACCGCCCGCGCGGGACCTGCGCGTGCGCGGAGCCTGTGTTTGAGCGCGAGTGCGGGCGCGCCACGCCGTGCGCCTCCGCGACTTCACTACGGCGAGTTAGTCCCGGGGCTCGCCGCCCCCCGCCCGCCGCGCCGCGCCCCGCCGGCCCCGGGAGGTGTCGCCCGGCCTCGCCCCGCCGGCCCCGCACCGGCTCGCGCGGGCTCTCGGGGGCGGCCCGCCGCGCGGTCCCCGGCGGAGGAGGGCGGTGTCTCGCTTGCCCCGCCCCCGCGGAGGGATACGCGCGTCCGCGGCCCAAAAGCCCCGGGCGAGGCGGTCGGGGCGTGTGAGCCGCTGAGTCTGCTGCGCGCCCACGAGGTCCACGCAGCTCGCCGGGCCGGTGCGCCGCGTGACGGCCTCGCCCGCGCACGTCTCGGCCGCTGCTCCAAGGACCGGTGCTCCCGCGACGCCCGCCCACCCGCGCCCGCCCGCCGCCTGGGGCTCGGGGTCCGCGCGGCCGGGGGAGGCCGCCCTCCCGCGTCCGTAGCCGCGCGGGGAGCCGAGCCCAGCGGGAGGCGGCGCAGAGCCCGCGCCCCCCGCCGCCCGCGATGCTGCTCTCCAAGTTCGGGTCGCTGGCGCACCTCTGCGGGCCGGGCGGCGCCGACCACCTCCCGGCCAAGATCCTGCAGCCGGGTACGCCGGGGGCCGGGGCCGGGGGGGCCCGATCGGGGCGCTGGCGGCCGGAGGGGCCGGGGGCTGGGGTTTCGGGGGCGCGTCAGGTCGCACCAACCCGCCCTCGCGGTCCCCACAGCCAAGGCGGACAAGGAGAGTTTCGAGAAAGTGTACCAGGTGGGCGCCGTGCTGGGCAGCGGCGGATTCGGCACGGTCTACGCGGGCACCCGCATCGCCGACGGGCTCCCGGTGAGTCGGGCCGCCGGGCGGGCCCGGGTTCTCGGCGCAGCGCGCGCGGCGTCGCAGCCGGCCCGGCCTGACCCCCTGCCTCCCCCCAGGTGGCCGTGAAGCACGTGGTGAAGGAGCGGGTGACCGAGTGGGGCAGCATCGTGAGTGCGGGGCCCGGGCGGGCGGGCGGGCCGTCGGCGGGGCCGGGGCCGCGGGCAGGACGCGCTGACCAACGTGTCCCCCCTCCCCCTCAACAGGGCGGCGTGCCCGTGCCCCTCGAGGTGGTGCTGCTGCGCAAGGTGGGCGCCGCGGGCGCGCGCGGGGTCATCCGCCTGCTGGACTGGTGCGAGCGGCCCGACGGCTTCCTGCTGGTGCTGGAGCGGCCCGAGCCGGCGCAGGACCTGTTCGACTTCATCACGGAGCGCGGCGCCCTGGACGAGCCGCTGGCGCGCCGCTTCTTCGCGCAGGTGCTGGCGGCCGTGCGCCACTGCCACGCGTGCGGGGTGGTGCACCGCGACATCAAGGACGAGAACCTGCTGGTGGACCTGCGCTCCGGGGAGCTCAAGCTCATCGACTTCGGCTCGGGCGCGCTGCTCAAGGACACGGTCTACACGGACTTCGACGGTGAGCGGAGCGCGCGGGGCGGGCGCGGGGCGTTCCAACGGCTGGTAACGTCCGCGGGGAGGTGGGGGCGGGTGAGCGCTGGGCCCGCGCCGCCGCCTCGGACCCATTTAGACGCAGGCACCGGCGGGGATCCCGAGCCGGTTTGGTTCGGTTTGGTTCGGTTCGTGGAGGGGGGGGGGGTGAGAGGTGGGCTCGAGACTGCGCCCTCTGGGCGGTTGGGGCGCACGGGCGGGGGTCTGTGGGGGTCGTGATGTCTGCGTGTGTGTCTGCGCGGCGATTGCCGCCGGCGCTGCGTGGGCTCCCCCTTCCTGCGTGCGTGCGTGCCTGGGGAGGGGGGTGCCGGCAGAAATCCCCGCATTGCGGTGCGCGGGGAAGCCGGGGCTCCCCGCCCGCCCACGCCTCCTCCCTCCTCCCGCCGCCGCTCCGCAGTCCCCGGCCTCCCTCCCTCCTCCCCTCACATCTGTTTGTTGTGAAACCCGAGCCGGCGCCCATGTGACCGGCTCCTCCCCCACCGCCAGCCCGGGCGCCCCGCCTGCCTGCGGGGTTTTTCCAGGGCGAGGGCTGACTCCAGGATCTGGGCGCCGGCTCCCTCTCCCGGCACAGAGCGGAGCGCAGGAGCCTGGTGCCGGCGTCGCCTGGTGCTGGTGCCTGGGGTGGGCGCCCTAACCCCGCGTGTTCCCCAGGCACCCGCGTGTACAGCCCTCCGGAGTGGATCCGCTACCACCGCTACCACGGGCGCTCGGCCACAGTCTGGTCCCTGGGGGTGCTGCTCTACGACATGGTGTGCGGGGACATCCCCTTCGAGCAGGACGAGGAGATCCTGCGGGGCCGCCTCTTCTTCCGCAGGAGGGTCTCCCCAGGTGTGTGTGGGGCGGGGGGGCACGGAGGCGACAGACGGGAGCTGGCCCCTGGCTGACTCCCCCCTCCCCCCCACAGAGTGCCAGCAGCTCATCCAGTGGTGCCTGTCCCTGCGGCCCTCGGAGCGGCCCTCGCTGGACCAGATCTCCGCGCACCCCTGGATGCTGAGGGCCGACGGGGGCGCCCCTGAAAGCTGTGACCTCCGGCTCTGCGCCCTGGACGCGGACGACGCGGCCAGCACCACCTCCAGCAGCGAGAGCTTGTGAGGAGGGACTGCGCCCCGCCCTTGGGGGCCAAAGGGACCACCCGCCCCGCCCCGCCCTGTAGGGCTTGTCCTCCTCGGGCTGCCTGCTGGAGACAGCAGTGACCTCTGACCCCTGGTGACCTTGACCTTTGGCACTGGGCCCGTTTCCTTTGCTTTGAGTGCCTTTTCGAACGCTGCTCTCCCGGGGCTGGTTTCTGAGCTGTCTGTCCAAAGACTCTGGTGGAGGCGGCCGTCTCTAGGGTGGGTGCTGACCCAGGCTCCCTGCCCTGTGCTTCCGGGAGGGCCCGCCCCCGCACCTCCCACCTGACCACGCTGGGCCAGGAGCACTCGTGTCCGTGGCTTCGTCTCACCGGGCACAGGGTCCTCCTGCCCGCCTCCCGCCCCCGCCCCCTCGGTGTTCCTGCGGGCGCGTCTGTGCACAAGCAATGCAATGTGCAGGCCTCTGCCGCCCACACGGCGCCCCCTGTCTGTGGCTGGCAAGCCTGCGAACGTCTATTTATGGTGACCCCGGGAGGGCTATTTATTGTTTAACTTATTTGTTGGGGTCCTCCTCAGCCCCCCACTCTGCTGGGCCCCTGGGCGGCGGTGGCTGTGTGTGGACCCAGTCTGACCCACCTGCCTCTGTCGAGGACGGACTTGTACAGTGGCTAATTTAAGGGGAGGGGTGGCCCGCCACTTGGGGCTCTGCACCCCTGGGAGTGGGTTTTAAATTATTGACCTTGTACAGTCTGCTTGTTGGCTCTGGAAGCTGGGGTGGGGGGTGGGGGGGCAGAGTCTCAAGCCTTTAATTTATTTTAGCAGCTGTTTCTGTGGTCCTGGTGCACCCGCGTCAGGATGGGGTTCTTTCAGTTTAAAAGCAAGATGTCTGGAAATCATATTTTTTATACAAGCATTTCAATTAAATTGTTTTGTATATAACGGATGTCCTATGTTTACTGGGCTGGGGGTTGGGTGGTGAAGGGGCCTCTGGGAAGGCAGCCGCCTCCCAGACCAGGAGACCCCTTTCCTGCCCCGGTGGCACCTGAGGTGGGGGGGCAGGGGGCCAGGCAGGCTGGGGTGGGGGGGTGGGGGTTGACGTAATCACTGGTCAGAGGCCATGGTAGGGGTTAACCCGAGAACCGGTGGCCCCTTCCGCAGGAGGTCCAGTCTGGTGGGAAGAGGGAAGGGCCTTCACCCAGGCCACACAGCAGAGCGTGGGGCGGGGGTCATGCTGCCACTGGAAGGGCTCTGAAGGACGAACAAGTCTGCCAGGTGGACGGGCGGCAGGGCCTAAGTGCAGAGAGCCGGTGAGTGGGCGGAGTGATGGTGGGTTCGCCCTGGCTGGCAGGTGTGGGTGTGGGAGCCACGCCGGGTCCAGGAGTGGAAACGGCCAGGCCCAGCGTGAAGGGCTGGCTGGGTAGAGGGTCTGGGTGTGCCTGCCCCCCCGCCGCCCCCAGGGAGATCCCCATGCCAGGGCTGCCCCTGTGTTTGCTCCCGAAGCCGGACTGGACGGAGGAGTGTCCAGAGACGGCACACGAGAGCAGGGCAGGGAGTTTGGAGAAGAAAAGCGGGCAGGCTGGGCTGGGGTGCGGCTCCTGGCATGGTCTTGGGGAGCCTGGTGTGCCCCCGTGAGGAGCCACTGCTGGGCCCAGGAATTCCCGCAGATGCTGGGGAGCTGAGTGGGTGGAGGGGAGACTGTGCGCCCGTTCCCACGGCCCAGCCTGGCCAGCCTGCTGCTGGGTGTGCACCCAGGACGCTGGGCTCCTCTCCTGGCTCACCTGGCTGCTCCCAGGAGTGGGGGTGCCCAGGGAAGGCTGAGGGCAGCAGTGGTGCAGCCTTTGAGCCCCACCACGTGGTGACAGCCACCCACACGTCACCAGGATCTTGGTTCCCCACTTGCCAGCCGAGAGTGCTGGGCTGGTCCCGGGCACCCACCATGCACCCACCTCCCTGTCCTCCACAGTCCACAATCCATCTGTCCATCCATCCGTCCGCCCACTGCACATCCAATAACCAACCACTCGCTGAGCTCGTCTTGTGGGGGATCCTGAGTCAGGCCCTGGGATGGCCAAGCACCCCCCTCTTAGTCACCAAGAGCCTGGTGGGAGGCTGGCCTGGCACAGAGGGCGTCGTATCCCGGAGGTGCAGTCAGGCGGGCACAGCCCAGTGCAAAGCCCTGAGCCCTGGCTGGCCGAGGGCTCTGTCCTGAGTTCTCCCCTCATCTGTCAGCCCGAGAGCCACCCCTCACGGGCACGGAGTCCAGCGGCTTGCCACAGGCCTCAGGGCCCGGAGGACAGCATGTGCCCGTCTGTCCCAAAGCAGGGGGCTCTGCCAGGGAGCTTGGGAGTCACTGGCCCCTGGGCCCTGCCAGGCCGCCCCAGGATCCTTGGCCCGGGGACCCCGCAGTGCACCTGTGAGGGGGGCCGGCACTGGCTGCTCAGGCTGTAGATGGACAGGCCTGGGGGTGACCACTGACGGGTCTGAGAGATGCGGAAGCTGAGGCCAGGGGTGACACCTCCTCTCCCGCCTGGGGGTTGCAGGCCCCCCGGCTCTGATGGGAGTGACAGGTGAGCAGGGAGGGGGTTCGCTGGAGGTGGGAGGAGGCCAGGCCTGGGTGTGTCAGGGCCGGAGGGTGGGCCCAGGTCCAGCAGGGGTTCTGGGAGGCCAGTACCTACTCCCCGTGGGGACTCTGCTGAACAGAGCCAGACCCCCCCCCCCCCCCGCCCCACAGGCAGAGGGAGGAGATGGAGGGGGGATGCTGGGGGAGTAGCTTTCTCCACCGGCCTGCACCCGCCTCCACTGACTGCCCCAGCCTGGGCCCCACTGCACCCCTCCCCCCCGGGGCCCCCGGGCACTGCTGCTGGCCTGGCCCCTGCTCCACCACGCAATCGCCTGCCCAGGACGCCCTGGGGAAACTGTGGCCAGGGAGGCAGAGAACGACTCTGGTCCCCATGGCTGTGCCCACATATTGGGAAGCGGGAGGGCCAGGCTGCGGCCTCGGGGGGCTGAGGCCTATGGGGTGGGGCCGGCTGCATTCAGGACCGTGGGCGCGGGCACAGGCCACAGGCCACAGACAGGCCACAGACAGCCGGGGATACCATGCACTGAGGGAGCTGTCCCCGCCCCTCTGGTGAGCTTTTGAAGGGTCTCTTGGGCACAGTCCCTGGTCCCAGAGGCAGCTGACTGCCTGGCACTGCGGGGCCACTCGGCTCCGGGTTCTGAGGGGACGAAGGAGGCAGGGCTCCCCCACCTCTTGCCTCGGGACACAGACCTGGAGCCCTGTCAGGGTCTGAGTGGTGGATCTGACCCCAAGGCCCCTTCCCCCGGACCCCAAAATCCCCCCGTCCCTGGGGCAGGAAGGCTGCCCACTTCAGCTCCGGAGGCCCTGGGTCCCTCCAGGGACCTCTCAGGCTTCTGGGTGGATTCTGCCCTCCCCCCTCCCCCCCCTGCCCCGGGCACCTGCAGGACCGCACACCTCCTCCTCGGGCAAGTGGGGCCAGGTGACTGCGTGCACGGGGGCCGGGGTGGGCGGCCTCCAATCGCCCTGCTGCCCCCGCTCAGTGCCCGAAGCTCTGCAGGGGTGAGGGGCTGGGAGCTGCCGTGGGCCCCTCGCCCCCAAGCCGTGGCAGCACCAAGGGCTGTGCCCCTCGTGCTGAGCGTGGGGCTCCCCAGAACCCCCTCAGCTGGATCTGTTCTTGCCAGAACCAGCCCCGTCTGCCAAGCCCGGGGTCTGGGGCTGCAAGAGGGGCGCCTCTACCAGGGACTCTGGGCCAGGATAGGGCTGTGCCCGTGGCAGGAGCCCTGTGGTCCGTGGGCTGGGCTGCTGGTGGACAGCGTGGGGCTGCAGCACCGGGGACAGGCCGCCTGCACACTGCGTGAGCACACGACCCCAAGAGCCTGTCCTGCACTCGGCCAGGCGCTCCGGGACGGGCGGCACAGTCCCCGCCCCTCTGCCCATGCCCTGGGCTGGCCCCGTCTCCACTTGTCTTTCTGTATCTCAGGCAGTTTCATATCAAAGCTGCTTTATTTATTTTTAAAAATATTTTTATTGATTTTAGAGAGGAAGGGAGAGGGAGAGAGAGAAACATCAGTGATGAGAGAGAATCATGGATCAGCCGCCTCCTGCACGCCCCCTACTGGGGATCGAGCCCGCCACCAGGCATGTGCCCTTATCCGGAATCGAACCCGGGACCCTTCAGTCCCCAGGCTGACGCTCTATCCACTGAGCCACACCAGCTAGGGCTCAAGGCTCCTTTAGAACCACTGGCTCGGGTTCTGCACAGCAACTATGGCTGCGGGACTTTCCGGGCGCTGCACAGAACCCCGAAACCATGGTGGAAAGAACCGAATTCTGCGTGGTCCGCGGCCTGCCAGCTTGCATCTCCTCTGCTCCGGCTCCTGCCCGCCGGCAGCGTCGCGTCACCACCTGCGGGGCCTGACCTCTGAGTGGCTGGCTCCCAGCTGGCCGCCCTCCCGCCTCCTCACCCAGAGGCCAGGGGCCGCCAGCTTCCAGGAAGAGAGAGGCCGGGCTAGTCGGACACTGACCGGCAGTCGCCCCGCTCACCTCCTTCACTCTGACGCAGCCCCTGAAACGAAACCTTGGCAACTTTTGGGGCCACAGCTTCTCGGAAAAGGGAGGTGACCCTGCGGGAGCCGGGCGCCCCACCCCCGCCTCCAGGCACGCAGACCCCAGTGGCCCGGCACCCTGTGCGAGCAGCCGCAGCACCCAAAGGAGACACAGAGCGACAGGCGGGGCCCCGAGGGGGCAGTGGAGTCCGGACAGCAGGGGCTGCGGGTCATCGCCTGCCCTGGGGAGCCGCAGCCACGGGCACTGTGGCGGGAAGATGGCAGCCAAGCCTGGCACCTGCCCACAGAGCCCTGTCCATCCCCCACCCCGGCTGGGGGTGGGAGCGAGGCACAGCCGAGGTGCTGGCTCCGGGTCCCTCGTGGGCCTCTGACGGGGCGCCTGCCTGAGCCCCCAGCACGTGACTTGCAGCCGCGGCTTTCCAGGCAAACTTGGCAAAGCCTGAGCGTCCAGCTTAGATTACACAACTGACCCCTCTCAGGGCAGGGCCTGCCTCTCAGCACTGACCACTGCCCTCCTCCGGCCTGGTCCCCGTAGGAGCCGTTCCTGGGGACCAGGCCCAGATGCTGGCCAGGTGGGTGGGTGGGGAGGGGATCTGTGCTGGGAAAGGAGTGAGGGCCTCCGTTGGGGGGGGAGGCCTGTCCCTCAGGCCTGACTGAGCCTGGTGGGTGTGAAAACGGGGGATCGGGTGCCCACCGGAGGGCCAGGTCATCAGTAGCCGAGGGGCCACCCGCCCAGGGTGGGATCCCATCTCCCTGACGTGAGGCTCAAGGGGCAAGCGGCCTGCTCTGAGCCGAAATGCAGACCCTCAGTGGGCAGGGCACCTTACTGTCACTGGCCCCGCCCACTCATAGGGGAGGCTGGCACCTGCCCTGCCCCCAGGCTCCCAGGCCTCGCCCCAGACTCCCTGGCCCCGCCCCAGGCCCCTGGCCCCGCCCCAGGCCCCCTGGCCCCGCCCCCAGGCTCCCTGGCCCCGCCCCAGGCCCCCTGGCCCCGCCCCAGGCCCCCTGGCCCCGCCCCCAGGCTCCCAGGCCCCACCCCAGGCCCCCTGGCCCCGCCCCAGGCCCCCTGGCCCCGCCCCCAGGCTCCCTGGCCCCGCCCCAGGCTCCCAGGCCCCACCCCAGGCCCCCTGGCCCCGCCCCAGGCCCCCTGGCCCCGCCCCCAGGCGCTGCTGCTGAGCAGGCTGCCTGGGGCTCCTCAGCCAGGAACCTGTGCGTAGGGCCCACTGGTCCCTGCAGCCCTGGGGGTTGGGGGGGCGGGATGGGGGGGACGGGGCTGGACCGGGAGGCCGAGAAGGCGCCGCCATGTCCCTCTGCGAGGCCCTCTGGTGCAGATGCCCTGGGCCCCATGGCAG